CCATGAAACCACTGGACAAAGCCATGTTCTGGATCGAGTTTGTGATGAGGAACAAGGGAGCAGCACATCTTAGGACAGAGTCTTACAAGATGTCCAAGATCCAGTACCATTCAATCGATGTGGTAGTGTTTTTACTGGCAGTTATGTTGCTAGTATTAACAGTTTTTCTTGTTGCAGTTAAAGTTATGTGGAAATGTTTGTTTTCTAGAAGCAAGGTCAAAAGTGAATAATGAATATACTGCTACATACACAGTCATACATTTTTAAAAACATTAATACTTGGTAACTAGTCTGAACTGTATCAAGATGTATTATGAGCATGTCTTACATTGTTATCCTAACTTTAGCTTTAGCGTGTGTATCCAGGTTTTAGAAAATGTTGTTGGTATAATCTTTTTTAAATTAATTTCACAAATAGCTGTATATTACGATTGTCTGTCAATAAGACTGGGGGAAGGACTACTTGCTTTTTGTTTTATCATGACTTTTAGCTTTGATATGACGTTGTTCTGTGATTGTTCCACGGATCTATGTGTATATCAGTTTCTGTTTATTGCTCACACTGATCTAGTATTTCACATTATCCTGTTGTCTTTTTTAATGATCATTTGTGGCATGTTGCCTATATTTGAGAGCTAGAGTCGTGTAGGGAAACATGAAGACTGAGGGGTAGGACAACAAAGGTGCAGTAAAGGTCCCCAGCCAAACCTGGGACCTTTTGCTTATTTGGTTAGAGCCATTGAAGCTTAAATGTACAATGTGTAAGATAAGGCCAGCATTTTGGTTTAAAAACATTTCCCATACTATCATGTATGTAATATGTTAGAAAGCTGACGCTATGTTGAAAACTGTAATCAAACAAATCTACTAATATTAGCATGCTTAGCAGAGCTTGGTGCAATCTGTCATGTAATACCACTTTTTATTTTAGAGGCCTTAGTGTCTCACTGTGACGTCCAGTATGCCCTCAGTTCTGAGGACTAAGAAGTAGCGTTGATCCAAGGGTTTATCAATACTGTAAAACATCCATTGTACACTTTTATATTGGATTTAATTAAAGTGGCAGAAAATACACTTTATTGATCGGTTAGCTGTAGGGGGATGATGAACCGATATTAAGGCCACGCCCCACAACTGCTCGAGCAAATCAAGAGTTGAGCACAGCCACTTGGCTTCTATGTTAGCACCACAGTTTGGCTAGAATTACTACAACTAAAACCTAACCATAATACCTTTTATAAATACATGAATGATGAGACTTGCTCAATGACACACATTTGTAATTCATGTTTCAGTCGGAGTCACCTGCATATCTGCAGTCACTGTTATTATTACACACAGTTTAAGTTGAATGCAGCTGTGTGAAGCACTTTGGAGTGGGAAACGCTGGAGGCCTGCCTGCCCCTACTCCCCGCCAGATCAGGACACTTTCTGTGGCTACCATAACACAGGCTAACGCCACAAGTAAACATTACAAGATTGCATGGTGTTATTTGATCTGTTCGTTGAGTTTCATTAGTTTATCTGGGCAAAAGTCAAATTGACAAAGGGCACTTCTATGATTTGATGTTGGCCCTGGGGAATTTTCAGTCATATGGTCATTTATGATTTAACTATTTTATGGGTTGTGTCTCTGGCATGGCAACAAAGATGAAAAAAGAGTTTATTATGGTATGTGACTCACTGTTGTAGACAGTGGAGAATTCTGCAGCAGTCAGCAGAGGACGGTCGTCCTGCTCCCTGTGGTGGAGAGAGGAAGGACTGCATGGAGACACAAAAGAGAGAGAGAGAGAGACACAGATGGTAGATGGTTATCACCATACAGGAACATGTTCATTTAGATTTTTTTTAAACTATTTCTGACTAATAAAATATTATTCAAATGGAGTTATGTTTGTGTATTATTATGCTTTAATTACACTTTGTCGCAACATGTTGAAACTTTTCTACACTAACCAAGACACAAACATTAAAGGGTATTTTTGGGGTTTCACTTTCCTGTGGTGTGTTGTATAGCTTTTTGAAAACGCATTGATTGGATTTACTTCCGTAACATACAGTAATGACATCACTATGTAACGCTCCAACATATTGTACGTAATAGGCTAAGGGGTGGGATTTCTCTTAGCAGTTGACCAATCACAACAGAGCTAGCTTAACAATCAGAGCAGACTGGGCTCTGGTTTCAGACAGAGGGTGAAAAGAGGTGCTGCAGCACAGGCAGTATGAGAAAAATAAAGAGCTGTTCGAACATTAAAGCATGGAGACATGTCACAGTAGAGGAACAAAATACTAAACCTGTATTGAGCATAATAGGGCCCATTTAATTATTTCCTGAATTGCTTATTTTGGATATGAGGCCATGTGAAAAAAAAGTGATGTATGTCAGTGAAATGTTACCTTTTCGGACAGACCCTCCCCTCTCGGTGGCTTGAGGGGGGGCTGACAGCAGTGCAGAAGGCGGTCTGCAAGTAGCTGAGAGGCAGAGTCCTGTTCAGTGGCTGCTGAATCTGAGCCTCGCTCCACCCGGTCAGAGCCGCCTTGCTGCCCACGTAGAAGTGAACAAGAGCTGGCAAAGAGTCAAACGCTTCATCCTCCAGGCTGTACTGCACCCGGGTGTACGCCTCACTGGACTGAACCAGCGTCTTCCTGATGACAAAGTGAAGGGTCTTCTGCTCCCAGTGGCACGTGAGCAAGAAGTCGCCCAGACAGGACTGAGAGTCTCTGAGGAGGAAGTCGCCGTGGTTCACCACCAGACTCTCAGACACCTGAGCAGAAATATTAATTCAATCAGCATCTTTTTTTCTTCTTTAAAAAAAAAAAAATACAAATACATTTTTTTCACAGATAATTCAAACAACATAATGGTTCTGTTCATGACTTTTGGCAACATTATAGCAACTTGTTTTTTATGTCGAATATACTGTATATAAAAATGCTGCCGCTACTACTTTTTTTATGTTTTTGTAGGTCAACAAGAAGATAAATCATTCATGTTTACAACTCACTGATACAAATACCACAAATGAAAATCCACTTGTAATTCAGTTTAAATGAATGACAATACTGTATTATAGCAGGGATAAATGAAGTGTAACACTAACTCCATAGATAAATGTTGACTCCCGCATAGATGCCTTTTGGAATTCATATAAAACAAAAAAGACTTGGGGGGGATATTGAAAGATTGCTTTCAAGAACCTGTGATTGTAAAAATGTTCACCAACCTGCCTATTTCAAAATACCGAGAAAATAAGATATCCTTATCCCAATCCTTTTCTCGTCATTAGTTTATAATAAGTTGATTTGGCAGCGTTTTCCGAAAGCACTGCATACACAGAGCGCTGCAAATAGAAAACACTGCAAAGATAAACAGTTGGCCAATTTTATAATCTCTAAACATCAACAAGCGTTCCTCTCCCAGTTGTGTGCATCACTTTTAAGTGTCCCCGTTTCTCCGTTGTGAATTTAACTGATACAGCTTTTTTTATTTGCGTTTTGTTTATGCAGCACTTTTAATAAATGCTTTGCATTGTTTTATCAAGTTGGTGAATAAGTGTTTTCATTTGCATCTGTTTTGGATAATTTGTGTTTCTTTAATGTATCGTTTTTTAAACTCGGCGCGTTCCTCCTAATGGAAATGTTTTGGGCCGTTGTAGCACTTGTGTTCGGCCACCGCTACCTTGATTTAAAAAATGCATAACATCAATAGAATATTACTTTATCACTAAAGAACAGTATTAAGGAAACACTATTTCATAACACAACTTACGAAGCTCTGTAGATGGAGTGAAACCACAAAATCAAATCTCCCAGCATCCAAACCTCTTAGGAAACACCATCTTAAGCTCATCTGTCATACGTCTGTCTGTGTGTGTGTGTATGTGTGTATGTGTGTGTGTGTGTGTGTGTGTGTGTGTGTGTGTGTGTGTGTGTGTGTGTGTGTGTGTGTGTGTGTGTGTGTGTGAGGCCTACCTCCCAGGGGATTGGTCCATGGTACCAGGCATGGCTCTTCAGGTTGCTGCCGCTCAGTTTCAGCTCCTCCTCGAGCTGCTTCCTCAGCTTCTCCGACGGAGGCTCCAACCAGAACTGGTCTTTGGAGAACTTGAAGGGCATCACAGGGGCACAATCAGACACAAAAACCCAACAAATCAAAGAGCAAACACTAGAGCCTTCATGTAGCATCTTCCCGATTTGGGTTCACAAATCCCAACAGAGGCGATCTCTACTGTTGCATTTCTGCGGCTTCTTGAAATGTTCATCCTTTGCGAGAACAAGAATTGTGGGTAAATCTAGTCAAACCACACTCTTTATCAGCTCTGTTGTTGTGTGAGAGGGTGTGTGTGTTAACAGGGAGGGGGGTTAGGTAGGAGGAAGGACAGCTCTGGCATTCCCACACTGGCATCAACACTGGCGACACCAGGGGCCCAGGACCCAGACCCGTGCTGGAGTCTTGGCCCGGTCGCTGTGGCAACGTCATTGTGCGATGGGGCTCATCACTCAGTGGCGCTTTGTCAGACGCGTCTTTATACAAATAGGAACAAAAAATGAAGATACTGTATATCAAGAGGTTACGCCAGCAGCAGGCCGGGAATGCTTTTGTTTAGGGAGATACGCACGCACGCACACACACACACACACACACACACACACACACACACACACACACACACACACACACACACACACACACCACTTACTGTCAATACACCGTTTTATAGGTGGCATGTTTTTCTTCTCTTCGACGCCTCCCACCCCTCCCTTGTTTTTGCCAGAATGGTTTGTCCCACTAGAGTGTGAATCAAGGGCTGGGCACCGGGCCAGGTCCACTTCAAAACAACATAGAAGAATGTGTGCATATACGGTTTGTGTGTGTTTGTCTGTGAGTGTGTTTTGGAGGGGGGGAAAGACCTGGAAGCCACTAATGAATTGCTTTAATTTCATTAGCTATATCATTCTTTGCCAGCTTGTCCCTTTTAGACAAGTGTGTTTCTCAAGTATCCAATTATAAGTCATTGAGCTGGAAATTCTCTCTCTGTGTGTTTCTTTCCACCTCTTTCCAGGCAGAGCTGCCGGGCGAATCGAGG